AGAATTCATTAGGAGGCCTAGGCTGGCCTAGAATTCATTAGATAGTGCAGGCTGACCTGAAACTACACCAATCATCCTGCTTTAGCCTCCCAAGTATAGCTTCAAGATGGAATTTTTTAGCATATTCAACTTCTTTGGAAAGTTATGAAAATAAATTAGTAGTAGACACAGGAAAGTGCATCTGTTCTGCTCATGTGACCAGACAAAGCAATGCAATTCTTTTCTGGATGTAGTTCTCTGAGCCAATTAACTCTTTGAGGATGTGTGCACTTGTATACCATCTGTCCCTCTATTGTGAAGTCCTAAGAAATCCCAGCATAAACTATGATGAAAAACACAAGAGATGCCTCCCATTTTAATGTGCAATGTGCAAGACAGTATCTTCCAGGGCACAGTGCTGCGACACAAGATTCCTAAAGAACACTTATACATGGAGTTCAGGCCAAGTTAGTATCTTTAGGTTATTTGTTCACCAGGCATCAACGTTTTAGAATCTGTTACAAAAGAAAGATCATCTGTAGAATCTGAAACATACAAAAACCAACAAAGAAACAGTAGAGAGACCTAAGAGTTTTGGAACATAAAATTCTAGGCACTGGAAGTACTCCATAAACTTTATAGATTCTCAGAAAGCTATGAAGTAGCAAGTGATGTTATCCCTGTTTTTCATCTGAGGAAATGAAAGCAGTCATGATGGTCAGTAAGATGCCCTTTGTAACAGTCAACAACTGAATTTGAACTCAGATAGTCTGACATCAGAGCCCCGTGCTAAACCGGCATGCTCATAATTTCATTAAAGAAATTTACGCCAGCAGTCAGTGAACTTTCTTTGAAAAAACAATTGAGAATAAATGTTTAAAAGTTTGTAAGCCTGTTCCACTCCACTGCATATGTGCTTTTAGTTCCTCTTTAAAAGTGTATGTAAAAGAATAGTCTCAGCACACAGGGCATAAAGAAGCCATGGGGAAAGAGTAGTAGTTGAAAACTGATTTAAATAATGCCAAGAATAAGAGCATTTCCAAGATTTGGGGTCAGTATTCCATGTCTGAACTAACAGAGAAACCAGGGGTAGTCCAAGTATTCAGTGTATGAACCAGCAGCAAAAACTGGGATGACCCAGATCAGAGATGCTACTTCAGAACAGGCTCAAGGAATGATGTAAAAGATTCTGGGAAGACTGCCAGCATCATGAGTGAGGATTCATATGGCATCAGCAGGACTCCAGAAGACAGCTCTGTCATCAGTTTTGGAGTAGCAACTGTACCAAACAATAAGAAATTCATCCTTCAGTACTAGACTCCAGTTTTTTTTTTTTTAACTTATTTATGTTTTCAGCAGGATGCATTTGTTTAGTGCTCATTCCCCAGCATGTATGTATATATATTTACCTTGGACTTTTGCCAAAAGCCAGGATGGACCGGTGAGTATTGTGTATGCCTACCGTTCAAAACTAAAAACAGACACATGAACTGACATAAAGCAGTCATTTCAAAGCAGTGGATAAAAGCTAGGATGGACAATAAGAATGATGGAAAAGAAACAAATTGGGCTCTGTGGCTGTACACGCTTAGCAGGTTCACAATGTGGCCAAGTCAACAAGAGGGCAGGAGAAGTAAGAGGATGTTGGGAAACTCCCTGAGCTGAGGGCTGTGGCAACACAGACACTAAGAGTTCACAGATGAGTAGAAAAGAAGGAAGAGCACAAAGGCTGAGTGATCTGTGCATAGCTAATCGGCAACACGGAGCAAGTCAAGGAAGGGCAGGGAGAAGGCACATAAAGTGAAGGAGGAAAGAGCTGTGGAAGGGAGGAAGGGAACCAGAGGGAGCTACTGGCCTGCCGATCTTCATGGTCCCTGTAGAAATGGAGGCTCCACCCTCTGGAGATCTAGGGGATCCCTTCCCATCCTTCCTCTTGGCTTGGACTCACACCTAACCCCTTCCCAGACTTGTTGCTCTCAGGCACCTCACTAGGAATTGTGACTGTGGCTCTGGATGAGCTTGAATACAAACCAAGTTTTATATTTTTTAGCACCCTGGGTTTTTCATTGTTCCTGTTTTGTTTTGTTTTTGTTTTTAACATGTTTGATCTTTTGGTTTTGGCTTGTCATCCCTTAGTAGAAGAATTAACCATTGGGGAGGGGTGACAATGGTAAATTATTTGTCACAAAAACTATAGTTATGAAGGCTAGGAGGTGGTTATGGGGGTAAAGTGTTTGCTATGAAAACCTAAGGACTTATATTGGGATCCCCAGAAGATGTCACTAGCCTGTAACTCCAGTGTAGAAGGATGGAAACAGGAGGCTTTCTGACCAGTCAGTCTAGTCAAAACCAAAGTTCTGGGTCCAGTGGGAGAAATTTTCTAAAACTAAGGTAGAGAAGTGACTGAAGATACCCCTAATTGACCTCAGGTCTTCACCCTTGCACATCTGCATGGGTGAGCACCTCCTACCCCCATCTCCTACCCCCAGCACACTCAGAGAGTAGCATTGAAAGGACCAAGAACAGCATAAAGTGCAGAAAAACAAAACAAAACAAAACAAAACAAAAAAACGCTGATCTAGACTTCTATAGTCACAGAAAGGACTTTCACAAATGGTTGTGAAATAATGTTATCACGTGTTCAAGGGCAAGGGGAATTCATCCCTAGCAGATTTTCACTGCAGGAAAAGAAAGACCCTGGTCTGGCAAGATGGGCTGAGTGGATGTCTGGGAGTAAATAATGGAAAGAGAAAAATCAACACTCCAGAGTCTTCCTCTAACTTTCATATGCAGATACAGACACACAGCTGCATACACAGAGACACACCCACAGACACACACACACACACACACACACACACTCACTGAAACAAAACACACACAGATGCATACAGAGACACACCCACAGACACACACACACAAACACACAGAGACATACAGACACACAAAGAGACACACTCGTCAACAAACACACATAGACAGACACACACACACACACACACACACACACACACACACACACAGATTCACACACAAGTAATACCAACATGCTCATAGTAAATAATAGGAAAAAATCTTCAGAAAAAAAACCTCATGATGAAAAACCGTATTTAGAGATAAAAAATGGATAGCCCATGAAATGACTGCTAGAGTTCAGATCCCCAGCGCTGTGTAAAGAATGGGCATGCTAGCATGGACTTGTAACTGGAATGGCAGTGTAGGGAGCAGAGACAAGAGTGTATCTGGGGCTTGCTGGGATTCCAGGCTAATTTGTGAGCTTCACGTTCAGTGCAAGACTCTGTCTCATGAACTAGAGAGTGACAGATGAAGGCAAGTCTTTGGCCTCTGTAGGCATCTGCACACAACATGTGTGTACTCACACAAACGAATGTATACTGCACACATGCACAGACACATACACAACACACATAAGTACACACACTCACATCTACACATGCAGAAACACATACACTAATAAAATAAAACTCTTTTAAAAGTAACTTACTTCTTAAATTAAAAAAGACTATGCAAAATGTATAATTGACAACATACTTAAAGTTCAATGTCCTAAGGTCAAGGTCAAAATGCAGTTGTTCATGAAAGTGTGAGGTATTGAATATGTTTACGTTACCTGCACTGAAAATCCAACAGCATATGGAAGAAAAGATTTGAGAACGATGGAATGAGTTTACTAAGGCCTCAGAGTACAACACTAATATAAAACCCTTTGCTTTTGAACACTAACAACAAATACTTATAAATCAAATTTTTAGGTGGTAATTCCATCTATAATAACCTAGAGAAGTATGAAATATGTAATGACTGTCTATAATGTGCAAGGTATCTATACAGAAAATATGAAACATTATCCAGAGAGAGCAAAGAATGTGAAGAATATGTGGATAAATGTGCTTTGTTTGGAAATCAGAATTTTTTTCATTTATTTTTTTATTTTGAGGTAGGATCTCACTTTGTAGTCCTGGCTGGCCTTGAATTCATGGAGATGGAATGGCTGGTTTCTGCCTAATGAGTGCTGGGTTGAAAGGTGTACACCACCATACCTGGCTATGAATTAGCTTTTTTAGCTCTCTTAAAATTTATCTATAGATTCAATATGGCCAAAACCAAAATTCCAAAAAGGGTTTTATGGAGTTGATGAGCCAGTTCAAAACTGAATATGGAAATACAGTAGCACAAATCAACTGTAACAGCCTTTGGATAAGACTATGGTGCAAGCATCATCACTGCATGATTCCCATGTTTATTATAAAAATATAGTATTCAGTATAGTGTGAAGGTCATGGTAGGAAGATGCACAGACAAGCCAGGGGGATAGAGCATGTGGAAACAGTTGAGCACTGTTAAGGGGCAACAGCAACCTCACTAGGTTGTCGATACAACTGGATATCCACATGCAAAACGAGGAGCTTCAATGCATGACCCACAAAGAATCCAGAACAAGTCTTAGACCTCAAGGTAAAACCTGGAACCAAAAGCTTTCTGTACCAAGAGGCAAAAGAGAAAGTCTTATAGTGTTGAATTGGGCAGAGAGTTCTTAGGAATAAGGACTTAAATATAAAAATGGATTTTATCAAAATTAAAAAGGTCTGCTTTGTGAATATTCTCTTTAAAAATAAAAGGCAAGCTGTAAGCAAAACAACAAGCAAACAGACAAATAAACTGTGGTAGTTTGAACGTATTGACGCCCATAAGCTCATAGGGAGGGGTACTATCAGGAGTTGTGCCTATGTTGGAGTAGGTGTGGCCTTGTTGGAGGAAGTGTGTCACTGTGGAGGCGGGCTTTGAGGTCTCAGACATTCTCAAGCCATGCCCAGTGTCTCAGACCTTTTCCTGTGGCCTGCAAGTCAAGATGTAGCTCCTTCTCCACTCTTAGCTCCTTTTCCAGCACCATGTCTGCCTGTATGCCACCATGTTCTGTCATGACGATAATGGACTAAACCTCTGAAACCGTAAGTCACCCAATTAAATGTTTTCCCTTATAAAAGTTACCGTGGTCACAGAAATAGAAACCCTAACTAAGAAATTTTTGTTCCATATCAGTCTTTTTTTATTCTCAAATATGTAAATCCCTCAGATTTAAAACCTAAGAAAACAAAATCTTCGAAAGAAGTACCCAGTCATTTCACCATAGAAAATGTACGGATAGTAAATAGCAACATGAAAATAAACACAAGAGCATTTGCCATTTCAAAATTCAAATTAAAACTGCAACGATACACAGCTATATACCTATAAGGACAGCGAAAGGGTTGGAGAGATGGCTCAGGAGTTGAGTGCTGGCTGTCCTTCCAGAGGACCTGGGTTCAGTTCCCAGGACCTACAGGATGGCTTCACAATCATCTGTAACTCCAATTCCAGAAGACAGAGTGCCCTCTTCTGACCTCCTGTGGTGGCAGGCGTGCATGTGGTACATAAACATACATTCAAGGAAAGAACTATTACAGATAAAATAAACAGATCTAAAATAATTAAGATCTTCAAAAAGAAGGGTTGAAGCTATGATATTGACTATACTGAATTATGGTGCAGGTGAAAAGGAACTGGCTCATTCTACACTCCTGGTGAGAATGCCAAGTGCCTTAACTCTGGAAAAACTTTTAGCCGTTTCTCAGATTACTAACTATATGTCTATGTACAGCATGAACTGAATATCACACTTGGAGGTGCTTACCTGAGAAATCAGATCCTGGGTTTAGCCAAACACTTGCTCACAGACATTCAGAGTAGCTTTATTTGTAGGTGAACCCAAACTGAAACAACCCAAACGGCATCAAAAATACACAGATAAACAATTAGCAGTGTGTACCCACAGTGGAATGCTTAACACTTAAAAAGAACAAGGAACTGATAAAAAAAAAAAACACTGAGATGGAAATATATGCACACCAAAATAATAGCACCAAGTGAAAGAAGCTGGGCCAAAAAATACATATTACATAATCCCATTCATATAAACTGTGAGTCACATGTGGCAGTGAATCCTTTAATCTTAGAACTTGGGAGTCAGAGGCAGGACCAACTCTGTCAATTAGAGAGGTCAGCCTGGTCTACATAGTAGTGAGTTCCAGACCAGCCACAGCTATATAGTGAGACCCTGTCTTAAAAAATTATAAACTCTATGAAATGTAAGCTGAAAGCAGTTCAGCGTTTGTTCTAGGGAGAAGGCATTGGGGAGGGGAGAAGTGACAGTATGTGCTCATCTTGGTTATGATGATGACAACAAGCACGGTGTACAGTACTTACAAATTCAATTTATTGTAAGTTCATTACACAGCAAAACTGCCAATGAAAATAATCCCTGTCTCATCTTCCTAAGGATGCATCTATTATATATAAACACACACACACACACACACACACACACACACACACGATTGTTGGCCTAGAACAATGGAAAGCTTCCTTTGAAGTGGAAGTGTCTGGAAGTTTGTGGGGGAAATGGAGGCTTTGAAAATAGGACTTACTTAGTTCATCTGTTCTAATAGAACACCATTTTAATACTCAGCTCATACTGCTCTGAAAACTTGTCCTGAAACTTAGTTTCTTTCATTTGGGTCATGTGTGTTTCTGAATCATAGCATAGCACGACAGGATCAAGGACAGGCTGTCTACAAGGGATGTGTAATTTAAGGGGGGGGGAATCTGGTTTTGCTTTGGGGCCACATATTATTTGGTTCTAACAAATATTGTTTTACAGGGTTAAAGTCACAATACTGTTGTTTGGTAAAGAAAAGAGGAAGAGATAAGTTACGTAAGAACTGATCACGGGGGCTGGAAAGGCAGCTCGTGGTTAAGAGCACTGGCTGTTTTTCCAGAGGACATGAGTTCAATACCTAGCATCTACATAGCAGCTCACAACCACCTGTACATTTCAGTTCCGGGGGATCTTATGCTGTTTTATGACCTTCGAATGGCATCAGACACTCATGTGGTACACAGACATACATGTAGGCAAACCCCTATCAACATAAAATAAATATAAAATTAAAAAATGTGAATGTGTAAATGATTTAGTCTGGAGATGGACCACAGTTACAGAGGTCAAGCTGTGGCTTCTAGCAGGAGCACAAGTTCCTTCTTGCAGTGTGGCTTTTGCTCTGTTCTGTTTCTTTGCATGCTGCTTCACAGGCACACTTCCCTTCTGAGCCCCCTGCCTGCATTCGAAAAGGTTCTCCACAATTCTGTCTTCCTTGCAGCTCCATAAGGCGCACTGAGGTATAGGAGACTGATTAGAAAGCATTTTCCAGGTCAGGCGGGAGTCATCATTTAAAACAAGAAAGAGATGCAGGATTTCAGGGTGGCTGGGGAGGCTTGGGAAGGGCAAGGCTAACCCATATGGATAAACAGTTGAACTCACAACATTTACTACAAAGAAGGAAAACACCTGGATCCTTGATCTCTGCTTCTGGTCCTTGCCTCCGCTGATGTGAACCGATGCTAGTAGTTAGCTGACAGCTGTCAGGAAAATCATGTTTTACATTCATGTAAGCAAGAATAGCTTCAATTTCAAAACAGCCCATGGTCTTCTCCTGTTATCTCAGAATCTTTAAATTCACTCTGTTGGCAATAGCTGCGCCTGCTTCTCACAGATGCTGAATGCATTTAAAATGCAGTGGTCAGCAAAAATACCTCCCTCTTGAATGTACACACAGGTGCCTGATGGATGAGCCTGGGAAGGAATCCCCCTGATCTTCAATCTGCAGTTGTAGAGAAAAGAAAAAATGACATGTAGCATCTCTGTGTTAGAAATCAATCCTGTCTCAAAGCTTGAGCTCAGCAGTAATGTGAAAGGAAATGCCCTCAAAAGGCTGAAGCGGCAAAGAGCAAACCCTCTTGGGACTTTCACAAAGTCCTCACTCTCCACTGACACATGTGGAATGTGACAGTGACTTCAAAGCATGTCTGTCCAGGAATAGAACACTCACAATGGGCACTGAGAGGAGAAAAGGACTTACAAGTGAGGACGCAATGGAGAGCCATTCTCCCACAGCCATGGGTCGTTTTTTTTCTTCCTATGCAATCCCATCCAGAACGGCGAGGTGGAATGAGAAGTTGCTTGCAAGATGAAGTTCTGTGGAAAGATACCATTCTGACTTCAGATTCATCAAGCAGAATATAAAAAACATCTTCAGCATCACTTGGTGGTTTGATGACAATGTTTACAGAAGCCTTCTGAGACTCTACATATCCTATATGCCTGAGGCCAAGTATGCAATCAGATTGGAAATATTTTCCCCCTCAAGCAAGTGTTTCTCCCTGTGGTGACTTGAATGAAAATGGCCCCCATAGAGAGTGGAGGTGTTGGAGTAGGTGTGGCTCTGTTGGAAAAAAGTATGTCACAGGTGGTGGGCTTCGGGGTTTCAGAAGCTCAAGCCAGGCTCAGCATCACTCTCTTCCTGCTGCCTTCGAATTCAAATGTAGAACTCACAGCTCTTCCCTAGTACCATACCTATCTGCCTGTGTACCACCATGCTTCCTGTGTGCAGATAATGAACTAAACCTCTGAAATGTAAGCCAGCCCCAATTACATACTTGCCTTTAGAGGAGTTGCCATGGTCATGGTATTTATTAACAGCAACAAAACTCTAAGACATTCCCCTAGAAACCTAAGCATGATTCATTTTTTTTTTACTAACCCGAAATCTATCCCACTATCACCCCAAATGACTCACCAGATTATCTATGCTATTAATTTGTAGCAACTGTGCATCTAAAGCCCGGCAGTTTTCTTGGCTCTTTGCCCAATAGGACTGTGCAGAAGAGAACAGGTAACAGTTTTCTTTATGCCATAACCAGTCTTGTGGACAAGGACCTAGGAAGTGATCATAGAGAACAGATGAGCTCTGAGTAAACCCCTTTCTTCAGTTCTTCCACAGAATGATACCCAGATTCTACAAATAGCAGAATGGCCAGAATCTTTATTTCCTTATTCCCAAATCATTTTTTACATGTCATTTATACTTTATGTGTATGGTTATTTGCCTGCATGTGTGTGTGTGCTCTCAGAGGCCAGAAGAGGGCATCAGATCCCCTGAACCGGGAGTTACAAACAGTTATGAACTGATATATGGGTACAGAGAAACCAACATAGGTCCTCTGGAAGAGCAGCCAGTGCTCTTAACTATCAAGACAGCTTTCCAACCTTTATGTTCCTTTATACCTTTTTTCTGTTATTGAAAATAGATTCTTTTTCATACAATATATTTCGATTATGGTTTCCCCATCTCAAACTTTTCCCAGTTTCTTGCCCTGTCTAATGTTTATAAAGGAAGAAGAGGGTGTTTTGGGAAGAGGAAGAACTAAAGCATTATGATTTTAATAAACTGGGTTGACTCTCCATTTAGCATTCATTTCCCTTCTTAAGAGACATAAGTTGGTATGCAAGCTTGTAATTTGAGCTTTTAAAAGTTTTGTTTGAAATTATGAAAACAAGAGCTAAAGAAATGGATTAATTGGCCATTCTGTTATGACAAAGATAGACATGCACTTAAAATCTTTCTAATTCTGTTTTTTTGTCCTAATAACAGAATTAGTTCTGGCTACTTTGTCACCTTTTATCCCTATGTTGTCCAATACAGTTGCCAATGTGGTTTCAGAAATGAGGTGTGTTTGCAGTCACCCATGTTTGCATTTAAAGCACATGTGCGATTTTGAGAACTTCATGAGAACCATGCAGACTAGCCCATTGAGAACCTTTAAGGTTCATGGTAAATTATTTCAGATGTTTTGGTTAAGTAAACTATGTCACTACAATTAGTTCCCTCTGCTTCTTTTTCTTTCTTTAAACATGTTCTTGCTAGAAAATATACTGTCACATAGTAGCTCACACTCTTTTGAACAAGTTTGATTTCGATAGAATGTTGTACTGGTATAAAATAAGCATTCTCAATTTCAGGAAATAAGATGCTCTCAGCAGCAAATTTGCTGGGGAATCCATAAAACTCACTTATGGGAGAAGGCAGTAAGTAGGCTAAGGTGTCAGCATCTACATGCTGACAGCTCCCAAATCATTAGCATGGTCACCATCAACCTCATTGTGATAGTGACACACAAGAAACTACCTTTTCCCCTACAGTGTAACCAAAATGGGAAAAAGTCCTTAGGAAGAATAAAATTATGACTTCAATTTTCATTGTGGCACAAGCCCACCTGATAATTTTATACAAGCAAACTGTACAAGGAAGACAAATGTAGACCTAATACAGTGGTTCTGAATTGGAACCCCAGCACACAGAAGACTAAGGCAGGAGGAATTCTTTGAGGTCAATGTCAATCTGGTTTAAATAATGAGTCCCAGGACAACCTGGGCTACAGAGTGAGAATCTATCTAAAACAAAAGAAACAAGACAAAACTATAGAACAGCAAAAATATATGCATAAAGGATAGAGTGGAAAGTTTCTGGAAAAATGAAATCAGAAAGTAGAAAGGGCATGCATGAGTTTGAAGCAGGGTGTGAAGCTTCCTTCAGAATTTGTCTAGCTCCATCACAGTAAGTAAATGTAAATAAATTAGTTTTTTGTGGACTAAAGAAATGGTCTAGACAACTTGTCTATATGATAACAAAGTAAGAAAGGCATGCTTCTCTACGTATTAAATTTAACTACATCTCTGTCTCTATCTCTCTGTCTCTCTGTCTCTCTCTGTCTCTCTCTGTCTCTCTCTGTCTCTCTCTGTCTCTCTCTGTCTCTCTCTGTCTCTCTCTGTCTCTCTCTGTCTCTCTCTGTCTCTCTCTGTCTCTCTCTGTCTCTCTCTGTCTCTCTCTGTCTCTCTCTGTCTCTCTCTGTCTCTCTCTCTCTCTCTCTCTCTCTGTGTGTGAACGTGTGTGTAATAGCATATAGCATCTCCCATTACATACAAAGTTTAATGATCGTAAATATTATTTCCCAAGTGCACAAACTGTTGGAAGTACTTCAAATATGTGAACTCATTTAAGCCTTGTGTAACTAGGAGATTGACCCCACTAATGTCTGCATTTGACAGATCAAGAAATCGGAAATCGGAACCTAATGTTGATTGTATATTTAATACCTGTGAGAGTGCACCTCGATAAACCTTGGTTGTCAGCTTGTTTAGATCTGGAATGAACTGAAAAACCAAGCTGCTGGCCATGCCTGTGAGAGATTTTCTTAAACAGATTATCTGAACTGGACCCTCCCCTAAATATGGGTGACCCCTTCCCCATATTTAGGACAGAGACAGGGGAAAGAAAGGAAATTTGGCTTTGTGCTTGTGTGCATTCACTCTGCAGGCAATGTTCATTGCTCACACAGCTACATTCCTTCCCTGGTATTATCTATCACCAGCTTCTTCTAACTTTGGATAGACTGCATATCAGTAGCCCTTCATTGATGCTCCAGACCTTCACAGCCAGACAGCCATGGCTGAGACATCCAGCCTCACAGACTAAACAACTGCCAAATTCTCCACCCACCCAGTCCGAGATAACCATTGTTCCATTCCCCAGACACATTATTCAAGCAAGTCTAAAAAATCCCCCTTTAATACATATTCACCCTGTTGGTTCTGTTCCTCTTAAGAACCTAATGCCACAGAAGTACACACCCTCTCAAACTTCTCTGAGGATGAACTAATTGAGGAAATATTCTGCTGTGGCCTTAGGGTTTGGAGGCTTACATGGAACCTGCCTTTTTTTTTTATCAATCTATTTGCATAACTAAAGACAAAAACAAGCACCAGTTCTGATGCTAAATGCATAGATACACCTTTCTGAAGACCGTGCATCTCCTTAGCTTCCAAGCAGATCAACCCAGTGATCTGTAGAGGACTATAGACCTGTTAGTAAGACAGAATCTGCCTCAGATTTGAGGAAACTAGCATCATTTTTTTTCTACTTGGGATTTCTGTAGAAAGAAAAATAAAATACCCAGAGACAGATATTGGGGTTCAAGCTTCAAGCTGAAGGTCAGAGAAACAAAGCAACTAAGTCTGTAGATCTTACCTCTATCCAGCTGAAATGGCAATCCTGTCTCCACAAATCCTCAGAGGCAAAAGCTGTCAGTTCCTGTCTCCTTCTGCCTTTTATGCCTCTCTCCATTCAATGTGTCTCCCCCTCCTAGTCCTGGGATTGAAGGCATGTAACCAAGGTGATGAGATCACCTTTGTATAAGTTGTTTCTTTTAGGACTGGGTCAATTTCATGTAGTCAGTGTGGCTTGAACTAACAAAGATCTGTCTGCCTCTTAATCCTGAGTCCTGGGATTAAAGGTGTCTATTACCACTGCCTGACCTCTATAGCTATAGCTAACTTTGCTTTCTAAATCCTCAGGCAAGTTTTAATAAATCATAAATAATATATCACCACAGATTTCATTATTACGATATTTTCATGAGGCTCTCCTTAATGCAACATGAGTATGATGGGAGATGTCATCCTGTAAATATGTTTATCTTATTGGTTGGTGAATAAAATGCTGTGCCCAATAGGGCAGCAAGATAGACAAGTCTAGGAGATGAAGAGGATTCTGGGAGGTGTAGGTAGAGAGTCAGTCACCATATAGGATGCCAAAGGAGTAACAAGTCCCTGGATCTTTATCCAGTAAGATAAGACCACGTGAAAATACTTCGACTAATAGAAATGGATTAGTAATTAAGACAGAGCTTGCCAATAAGAAGCCCTAGTCATTGGCCAACATATTATAATTAACTTAAGTTTCTGAGCGTTCATTTGGGGCTAATTCAGTTGTGGGGCCAGGCTGGCAGAAAGAATGCTTATAACATGGGTAAAGAAGACATTCATCTGGGATCTCTACTAATTGGCCATAATTAATATTTCAAGGAATGAAACAAAGGGCATAGTATATATGCCAGAAAGGGGCATGTGAGTTCTGTGTCTGATCCATTGTTCATGTTTGGCATACCTAAGAGAAGTTTATTCATGTCCTGACACAGATTGACTTCCACAAAATTTACAGCTAACAAATGTAAAACCATTTTACTGCTGTGTCTCTAAAATAGCTCACTTATTGGGGTTTCACTTCCTTAATATTTAAGCCTTCTTCCATTAAACATGGTTTGAATTGTTGCACCCCTTAGTTTGTTGGAAGGTCCTGCCCTAGGAAGATTAAATGTATTTTTGACACTAATCAGTTTCTCTGAAATTTTCTGATTATTTTTGCAAAGTTAAATTACCTCTTTCATACCAAAAGGATTTGTTTGTTTGTTTGTTTGTTTGTTTGTTTGATCTTTCCATGTAGCCCTGCCTAGAACTCATTATGTACACAAGGATAATCTTGAACTCAGAGATCTGCCTGCCTCTGTCTCCCCAGTGCTAGGATTAAAGACATACACCACCATTCTGGGCCTGAAAAGACGTATAAAATGAGTAACTACACCAAACCACTCCTTACCATTATTGGCAAACTCTGTCCTGCTCTCAATATCCTACAATACAATGAAGGGATGGTTATCCTTTTATTATTATATAATCTTTATTTGACAAAGATACACAAGTGAATTGTTAGCCACGCAAGCAAAAAAATTGGAGGAACATGCTTTTGAATGGCACTTAATTGCTACTCCTGAGAGGAGCACCCTCATTCTTACACTTCCCAAGAAGGGACATCTGACTCTGCACACCTAACTCTGTAATTATAAGCCATACCTTATGATGGGGGATTTCCTGTCTGTATGCTGTGAATATAAATTTCTCTTATTGGTTTAATAAAACTCTGATTGGCTAGTAGCCAGGCAGAAAGTATAGGAGGGGCTACCAGACAAGGGGAATTCTGGGGAGAGGACTCAGATCTGAGTCCTCTGAGAGATGCCATGTAGCTTCTGGGAAAATAGGACTCAGGAATTCTCCAGTAAGATAAGGCCATGTAGAAATACATAGATTAGTAGTTATGGGTTAATAACTAAAAGAGGGCTACCCAGTAAGAAGCCTAAGCCACTGCCCAAATGGTTTATAATTGATATAAGTCTCAGTGTGTTTATTTGGGACTGAAGGGCAGCAGGACCAGGCTGGAAAGAAACTCCATCTACAACGTTACTTGATTACAGTGCAAAAAATCCTCAGTAATGCACAATGCTTCTGGACTAGCACAGAAGTTGACAGTATAATGTGTTCTTTGTCTGCTTGCTCCCTACATTCTGAGTCCCTTTAGACAGATGAAATCATCTCAATTCCTATATAAATCCACTTTCCAGACCTCTAATTTTTGCTCAACCTAAAGTGCCTAGCTAAACCTTCCAAGTCAACTGACTACCACTGGTTGTACTTAGACAAATGTAGTGCCCATCTAAGAAACGATGTCCCAGGATGAAGCTAACATGGGAGCTGGCATACAGAATTGCAATGACAGGAAGATTCTCAAGGACAGGGAAGCCAGAAATAAGATTCGTTTGGATGGAAATAATAACACATCTGTGGCAGTGGCAATGATGGGACAGGATGGCACTTCCACACAAACCTCAAAGCTACAATTGAAAAGAAGGAAGAAAATGTTAAGCCTTGAGAAGTAGAGCTCCATCAAATTAGATGTATACAAAGTTTAACACAGGCTAGAGTATAAATGACACTGAGAGAGCTTGTATAGAGAGCACCGTGAAGGCATGGTCTCTATGTGGTGTGGTAGTTTTATAAAACCTAACTAAGACTGAGCAGAACACCAAACGCCACCCCTCTTCACTGCCCCTCCTCTGTACCTGAAAAGTTTGCAACTTTCTGCAGGGCTTTTTGGAGGTTCAGGTTCTGCTGCAGAAGTTCCTCCTGATCTTTGGTTTTCTCCTTCAGCTCCCAGGTGAGGGTGTCTATTGTTTCCTTGAGTTTCTGCTGTGAAGCATTTGCTGCCTGCTGCTGGGCTAAGATCTGTCTCTCCAGGATACGTTCCTGGTGAGTAAGGTTTGCTTGGTATTTCCTTAGAAGGTCAGATACCTGGAGTACTAAAGCATAAAGAATTAGGACTCAGCCTCTCTTCTCTAGTATAAATGCTGCCACTGGATGGATGCCCAGGACATTAAAACACAGAATCAAATAATCTGTCTTAACAACAAGAGTGGTGACAGAAATGGTTTATCCATTTGAACAACATTGGAGGAATAAATGTCCTTGAAAGACTGCTGCAGTGTAGGGCTCAAAGGAAAATAGAGTTGGTGCTTACTAGACATTTTTATCTGAGGAGGTTAGGGGAAAAGACACTCACACACTCTCTTGATTTTTTTCAGACCTTTCTTTATTCTTCTTTTGTATTCTCTGTTCTTTTTTATCCTGGTGATTTCCTTCTCTTATTCTTGATATCTTCCTTCTAATTCATTTTATCCCTATCATTCTTGATGTTTTTCTTCTAGTCTATTTTAACTCTGACTTTATTCATTTTACAATAACTTGTATACTCCAGCAAAATCTTTCAGGCAATATAAAAATTACAATGTGGTTACATTCTGTTTTTAAAGTGAATGTACACAATCAAAAGACAGCAGCAAAATCCATATCCCTTACATGATTAAATATTTTACATATTATAGGTGTAAAAGAATTTATCCAAGAACCCACATACATACCTAAGCAACTTTTTATAGATAAACCATGTAGGCAAGCAAGATATTCTTCTCAGTCATGTCTTTACTGGCAGGCTGCAGTTTTGCAGTTACAAACGAAGGGCCAATTACTTTATTACTTTTCCTGAAAGGCAATCTTATAAGGAATCTTCAGGGAATCACAAACCTCAACTTTCATATATGAAAAAGAATCATTCAACTCTACTTTAAATCTCTTGGGTGTATACCCACTCATCAATAGTTTCTTATAGCAGGAGATTGAAGACAGGAATGGTACAAGGAATTAATAACCACCCTTGATTACTAACCAATCCTAGCAAGGAAAGTATGTCAGCTAGCAACAATTGGGCTGCTTTATATTTTTTTACCCTAACCTAATGAATCTATAGCTCAGCCATGTGTCCTTGGGAACTTTAATTATTTTCTGGGATTTCTAATCTCAAAGCTACTATCAAAACATCTGATCTGATCTAACCTGAAGTTATTTTAAGGCTTTGTTTCAGCCAATGATGCACAGCAAAACCTGTGAATGCATCTTTCAGCATTAAGAGAATTAGAGCCAGCCTGGCTCCTGGAGACTCAAATGTTTTCCTTAATCATTAACCTGAACTGTGATCCATGCATCTCCTTATGTGAAACTCATAGGACCTAGCTGGTGACACTTCCTTCTGTTTTTTTTTTTTATTTATCAAAACTTGGTATAAACTAACATTATTATTGTCAATTAGACAGTACAGATTAGGAAAGAATCATCTTAATAACAACCCACAGGTAAAAATGCCCAGTAGAACAGTATGTTTTCATGAGATAAACACACTACATTACAGGCAGTGGGGAATCTCCAGATACCCACTCACACCATGCCAGAGGCCAGGGGAAGATGGCAGGAGAAAACATGTGAAGGCACAGCAAAAGAAAAAGACACTCTCTGGCCAATGATCTCAGGGCCTTGACTATCCAAGATTCACCCAACAAGTATTTTACTCTTGGTGGGCTATGTGTTACTTGGGACCTTAAGATGGCGGCTGGCAGAAAGTGCCCACGTGGCATTAGGGCTGGGGCAGCTTTGGCGTAAAGACTTATTGTTACAGAATGGTGTCAAGAGTGGGATGACCCCACACCCCGAGGTTCCCAGAGGAAGAGGGGAACCTGCCTCTGTGAGCTGCCAGTTGCTGCAGGCACTGCAAGCTGCCTTCCTGCAACTAGCCAAGTGGCAGCAGAACCTGGGCAGCTGGGGTAGCGTTACAAACTTCCATGTAAACTTCACAAAAGCTTAAGAAGGGATTTTAGCAGCAAAGGAACAGAGACAAGCATGACTTCTTGGTAGCAGCATTTTCTCCGGTGCTCTTTGTTTTGCTGGAGACGAGCAGGGACTCAAGAGCTTCCTTTAAAAGAGCTTTTCTGACTCAGCCTAAGTGGAAAAAACCACAGGGCTTCCTTTTAAGAGACCAGGCTAGCTCAGTCGGTGGAGCATGAGACTCTGAATCACAGGGTCGTGGGTCTGTGCCCCACGCAGCTGGCAGTGGCAATGACCACATCTCCAAGCCGGCAGCCTGCTCCTTGGTGGCAGCATAGACCAAGGAAGTAAGCACAGCTCTCAGAGTTGATGGTAAATGTACCCCCACCATCTTGAAAGACAGTGGCTAAGAAAGCTGCCACTTTAATTTTGGTGGTTTTGTTTAACACTTAAAAGACTGGTGGCCAGAAAAAGGTAAAGATTTACAGTAAAGACAGAAACAGATGAAGAAAAACCTCTAAAGGTTAACAGTGTATTTAAAAATATATGTAGGCTTGTGAGAGAAATAGAGGAAGAAAAAAATGGAGTAGCTGGGAGGTGGTGGCACATGCCTTTGACCCCAGCACTCCAAAAGCAGAGGCAGATGGATTTTCACAGAGAAACCCTGCCTCAGGAAAAAAGAAACAAAAGGAAGCAAAAGAAACAGAATAATTTTAAAAAGCCACATAAAGATGGAAAATATACAGAGAGTCTGGATACTATATGCTATATTGTTGTCTTTAAATTGTTTGATTGCAGAGGAAAGTGTTCCTGCTGCTAAAATACATTTGATTATAAGTGCTGCTAAATTAATCCAACTTACACATTTTAACAATGCTTTGACTTCAAAATTTAAGTCTAAGGACAGGCTACTTGGGAATAAAGTTCTTGCTTGTGTTTTTACAGATATGAAAAGCTGTGGATTCCTTCCAGACTAATATGGTTTGATCAAGCAAGACCCCCTGAAGCAGTGACCCAACTGATGCTACATCCAAAACAGCTGAGATGCTGCAGTCATAGCCAGGATTTCTGGGTTTTCTCAGGATCCCCATGACATCGCCCCCAACCAGCAAATATTGCTTATAAATGTTTGTTTTCATTTAAATGGGGTTGATTATAAGTGGTAATGATCACAGTCAATCTCTTTTTAAAAGAAAAAAAGGCGAATAGAATATAGGAATGAATATTTTGCATTGGTATGGATTTCATTTATTGATACAACTTTAAGGTCAATTTTGTAATATGCATAATTAAATACAGATTATATAATCACTTATAGTAGTCAAAAATTATAATTAGGTTATCTAGGTTTTCTACATATACAGAGATTTATTTGAGATGGATAGGTAGTCTTTAAATCTTTCAAAGATCTACAGAATACATGGCATTTAAGTAGTTTAGGGTTTTTTTGACAGTGAGACACAACTGCTCCTGAAAACACCAATTACATCAGAAAGGAGGATGGGCATAGAAGAAACTCAACATGGAGTTTGCCTTCAACATGGCAAGATTAGCCTTTTGGGCAAGAAACTGCTCTTGCCTGGACTGTTTGTTGCTATATAAACTGGATATGCAGGACCCACAAGAAAGTGACTGCTGAACTTACAAAACAAGACAGTACTGAAGAGTTCCTGCTGAAATGGAGAAGCTGTGGCCTATGGGCTGAAAATGGATGCCCCAACGTTACAGAGGAACTTTGGGTGACTGTCCAGGCATCGAGATGACTCTGTCAGTTCTAGAGTTTATATGTTATCCTTCTGTCTTTGATGGAGTTGAAGACAGATAGTTATGGTTATAGTTTTCTTCAGTTATTATAAAAGATAAGTTACACTTCTTTTTATTTAGAGAGAAAAGAGGAGATGATGGGGGAAGTGCTTCTGTGTATGTGTTTGTCTTTTTTGGATGATAAATAAAGTACTGTTTGGCCAATGATGCAGCAAGGTAGGAGTCAAGGAGGATTCTGAGAAATTTAGTAAAGAAGTGGTGATCCAGGCAGGAAGTGACATAGCAGGGAGACTCATATATAAGCAAGGGCAAGAAGGAAGTCATCCCCTTTTTGCTCTTCCTCCTGCTCTCTGCTCAGAGTCACCATGTTAGCCTGGAAAGACAGGACACTTGTCGCTGGCGTCCAATAAGTCTTATAAAATATATAGATTTGTGATAATTAAGACTGAGCTAGCATATGAGAAATCCTAGTCTTTGGCCAAGCAGCATTTGAAATTAATATAAATCTCTGTGTGTTATTTGGGGCCATAATGTGGCAGCAGGCGGAACTTGGGCAGCCTGGCAGAAAGCCACCACATGGTTGTAGGGCTCGGGTGGCTGCAGTGAAAAGACTTATTGTTACAGTGGGAAGACACCCTGAAGTCAATGGCAACCTGCTCTTCTTCTGACATGACCACCAGCATGACACTAGCGAAAGGTTAGTCTGTCTAAAACTTTCTGATTATTTTTGCAAAGTTAAATTACCCCTCTGATACTGAAAGGATTTATTTGTTTTTGTTTGTTTGTTAGCTTGATCTTTCCATGTATCCCTGCCTGGAACTCATTATGTACACAAGGCTAATCTTGAACTCAGAGATCTGCTTGCCTCTGTCTCCCCAATGCTAGGATTAAAGGCGCGCCCCACCATGTTGGGCCTGAAAAGACTTGTAATCTAAGTAATTTTACACCAAACCACTCATTATCATTATTGATAAACTCTATCCTGCCCCCAGTCTTACTATACAATGAAAGGATAGCTATCTATGTTTTATTACATAATCTTTACTTAACAAAACTGCACAATTGAATTGTTAGCTACATAAACAAAAAAGTTGGAGAAATGTGAATTTGAATGTCACTTAATTGCTAATCTTGAGAAGATCGCCCTTATTCTTACACTTCCCAAGAAGGGACATCTGACTCTGTCACACCTAACTCTGTAATTAGAAGCCATACCTTACTTGATTATACAGTGCAGAAAAACTTAACAATGCATGAAGCATCTGGACTTGCACAGAATGACAGTATAATCTGCGGTTTGCCTGCCTGCTCCCTACATTCTGAAACTCTTTAGACAGATGAAATCACCTCAATTCCTATATAAACTCACTTTCCAGACCTCTAATTTTTGCTCAACCTGAAGTACCTAGCTAAACCTTCCAAGTCAACTGACCTCTACTGACAGATGTAGTGCCCATCTAAGAAACCATGTCCCAGGATGAAGCTAACACAGGAGCTAGGGTAAAGAATTGAAATGACAGGAAGATTCTCAAGAGCAGGGGAGCTAGGAACTGAGATGCATTTGGATGGAAATAATAACACATCTGTGGCAGTGGCAATGATGGGACAGGATGGCACTTCCACACAAACTTCAAAGCTAGATTTGAAAAGAAAGAAAGAAGAAAATGTTAAGCCCATGGGAAGCAGAGCGCCATCAAATTAGATGTATAAGGACTAGAGTAGAAATGACACTGAGAGAGCTTGTATAGAGAGCACTGTGAAGGCATGGTCTCTATGTGGTGTGGTAGTTTTATAAAACCTAATTAAGACTGAGCAGAACACCAAACGCCGCCCCTCCTCTGTACCTGAAAAGTTGGCAGCTCTCTGCAGGGCTTTTTGGAGGTTCAGGTTCTGCTGCAGAAGTCCCTCCTGCTCTTTGGTTTTCTCCTTCAGCTCCCAGGTGAGGGTGTCTATTGTTTCCTTGAGTTTCTGCTGTGAAGCATTTGCTGTCTGCTGCTGGGCTAAGATCTGTCCCTCTATCGTATGTTCCTGGCGAGTAAGGTTTGCTTGGTATTGCTTTAGGAGGTCGGATACCTGGAGTACTGAAGCGTAGAGAGTTAAGACTCAGCCTCTCCTCTCTAGTATAAATGCTGCCACTGGATGCCCAGGACATTAAAACACAGAATCAAATAATCTATCCTGACAACAGATGAGTGTTGATAGAAATAGTTTATCTATTTGAGTTGCATTGGAGAAATAAATGTTCAAAAGGCTACTGGGAATTTGCCCCAAATTATTCAGAATTTATGGATGCAGAAGTTATTCAATTGTATTTTTGTAATGGCAATTCTACTGTAATTTTTATTAGTAATCATATAGAGATTTCTGAATAAAAATTCACAGCTTTATTTTTGCTGAGGTTTATATGTGAAATGAAAGTAATAGTAGGGTAATAATACAGCTTAGTGGTAAATGTGTGAGAGGTGGGGTATTGCTCAATGGCAGAGGGCTTGGTCAGCATTCCAAAGCCCCTGGGTTTTATGTGTATCTTGGAAAAAAAGTAAACACAAAGGTTGAGGATGAACTCCAGAGATCCCATCCCTAGTTGAGGAGCTATAGACATGGCGGCATGAAAGGTGAGTCAGTTTGTTTTCTCCATGGTGTGGCACCTGTGAGGTTACCTTTGCTCCAGCAGATGGCCCTATACCCATACACAGATAGGCAACATTAAGTGGTTTAAAAATTCAAAGCAGAACACACGAAATTCAGAGGAAAGGGGGTGCTGGGAGGAAAGTGGAAATAGGTTTGCTCAAAATGCATTATATACATGAGTATGAAATTCTTGAATATTAATAAAGTAAAACAAATATTTTAAAGTAATGACAACGTAAGAACTAGTATAGTAGAACAAATATAATATTGGCAAGCTATAGTTGTTACCTCTCCTCTAGACTGTGATTCATAGGAGGAATTGTCATTAGCAATTTATTCTGCTTAATTCCTCTTTAGCTCCTCCCACTCTGTCTACACCACAGATTTCTCAATTTTATTTAGGAACTCTTGACATTTGCCTTCATTTTTAAGGCAACCAACCACCCATGAAATATTTGTAAATTTCTGTATGGTGTCATTGAGGGTGAACACTTTGGGATGATGGAGACAAAACAAATGTGCAATTGAGCAGAAAAGAACTCTGTCCTAGGAACTCAGCTTGGTTCTAATACAACTCACTGCTGACCCTTTGCTTCAAGGTCTACTCTGAGCCTGCTAGATGGTGATGGGCTTCTTACTTCCAACTACTGCCATTGAGTGGTATTCCCTGCCCCATCATTTGGAAAGGCCTCAAGTACCCACAGGCAATATAAAACAAACAAAACCAACCAAAACTCCATTATACCAACTTAGACATGTAGGAAGCAAGTGGTGCTACTGGGGCTTTATGACTTGGATCCTGGCTGGCAGAATAACTCAGCCCCAAAACCTACTTGTGCAGGCAGATGCAGGGAAAATATTACCTTTCCTTTTGGCCACTCTGGTCTATTTTGTCATGTGTTCTTTTCCCCTTTCAGTATCTCCACTTTCCTACGTGTTATAAACTCAAAAGTACATTTTGCTTTTGGTGTTTTCCTTATTCTAATAGGGAAATTATGATTGTTAGCATTTAGATTCATAAAAACAAAACTAAGTGGGGTTTCTTTTTCTGTTGGTCTGCTCTGATGAGCCTATGTCTTAGAAACTTCAAGTTACTATCAAATTATTCTGGGATGTACACAGGCTCCTCCATAAAATTATGAAGCAAAACAAAAACATTCTACTATGAATAATCTCCATCCTATACCCCTCTCCAGTGGAGGGATGAACACAAAATATCCATTAAATGCCTGGTTTCTTCTCAAAGCATTTAGCCCAAATTGAATCTAAATCAAGACTGATCTATAGTTGCTATGAGTTGTGTTCATAACCCTCATTGCCCACCTCTATTTCCCTATTTCAATACTTACATTGCATCCACTGTATAATAACGATCACTAATAACCCCACACAAAGGATGACCAGAGTCATAGCAACAGGGCACCACCATTGGGAGGAAAGAAAACGCAAACCTGCAGGGAAGGAGAATCAGAAAATTGGAAAAGACAAAGGCAGGTCATCAAGCCTGGCTCTGGATCCTGCCTGTGCTCTGTGCTCTGCACCCCAGCTCTCTCTCCAAACCCACTGGCTCTGCATGTGTGCTGGTGGAACAATGGGTGGTTATGGAACTAAAGTCAATTACTCATGGACTCACATAGGAAAAAATAACAGCCAGGATTCAGTGAAGTATCAGAGACTAAATATTTGATTCTAAAGCTTTTACTTCATCTATTCTATGCACAATGCCCTTCGAGGAACCCTCAAGGCAACCTAACTTCAACTACAGTGCAGAAAGTCTGACATTTATATGCACATATATACAGGTATTCATAAGTTACATTATGCAAACAACTGTCAGATGCCAAGCAAAATATTTTACCAGGCCACCTGAGATTTCCTCAAGAACTTCTATGCCTAATATCATGCCATTCATTTTTTTTATTTCACTAAAATTACCTCTTCCAGCTGCAGTTATTAACCAAAGAAAACTAGGAATGAAGCCTTGATATGCACTTGGCTCATAGTAATAGCTTTCCTTGTGCTTATGATAAATGTGGTAATTTCCCTACAGTAAATAGAAAAACAAAGCCTAAAGCTCACAGTATGGCAGGGGATCATTTGATGTTTCCTCCCTGAAGTATAGTGAGTCAGCTAAAAACTTTTACTCCAATTGGGATTGCAATAATTATGGTGGCAAATGTCTGAAGCAACCTTCAGGTATCTAGGCCTATTATTCCCAGAGAAAAAAGTTGCCTTATTTTTTGCAAACAAGTCTGTAGCGATTGGAATAGATATAGTTAGGATACGATATACGTAGATTATTATATCTTCTTGTAATTCACCTTTACATTATAGATAGCTTACACTGTTAAGTGTAATCCTCTTTAGACTAAAAGGGGAATTGTAGGGAGAAATCTTGATTAGAGGTACCACTGACCACACCACACTTGGGCATGGTCAGCAGTACCTCTAATCAGGACTTCTCCCTACACAAGTCACACAGCTCTCAGACATGAGAATGTGAAGTTATGCGTCCCAGGATTGAATAACCACAGGCATTACAGATTCCAAGAGGAAAACATCACACACATTGTATTTGGTTTACTTCCCTTATAAGATAAACAGAACATTGATATCATTCTCCTCTCCATGTAAAGAAGAAATCTAAAGCTTCAGTCACTAGCTTGAGAGCACACATGTAATAAACTTAAAAGGTAGGACTTCAGGTTTTATTCTGATCTTGCTTGAGACAATGTTTGCTTTGTAGTTCACAGTCTTGGAACTCACTAAGTTGCCCAAGATGGTCTCAGACTGGTGAGTCCTCTTGCCTCAGACTCCCTAGTGCTGGGATATCGGGGCATGCAGTACCACATCTGGCTCTAAACATAGGCCTTTAATCTAATACTCAAAAGCCCCAATGCTTGAAGTATGAATTACCAAGCTTTCAGTATGAATGTGGTAAGGGTCCATATCAATCAACTGTCAAATATATTAACAGAATTCTCATGTGTTAATAATCTCTGTGAGACTCTATAGATAATGTTTTAAAAAGATAGAAATTGTCGCCAGAGGAAACACAACCCATTCTCTAGCTGAATGAGATTTCTCTCTCTTCACTTGAGGTGAGCTGGCAGGCAATGGAAGACAGTAATATCTTTTACTAATGGTTACCTAATCCTGGCCCCGGGCATCATGTATCTGTGAGTAAGAATACCTTTGTCTTTCACACTCTAGGATTCATCCCTCATTGATGCCCACAACTCGAAAGAAAACACCAATCCCATGAGTCACCCATGTGAAAGGAAGACACATGTTCCTATGAGCTGCAAGATATCTTCATCCCATCTCGGTGGTAGGAATTCTTGGTGGTCTAATTCTCACCTGATTTATGGCTTTTAGCCAGAAAACAACTGATAGCCAGCCAATAAACAAACAAACAAAATACTTCTTCACTGAATTCAGTGCCTCATATATACACTTCATAGGAGGTCACAAATATAACAGGGGATCTTAAAGAATTAGCATATTTATGGTAAAAATCAGGCAAGCAATAGTTATCGAACAAATAATGAGTGAATGGTTGGACAAATCAATGACTAGCATTAGCTCCTGAGTCTACTTTTAAGCACCAGCACTTCTTCCTATCAAGCTAGTTCAACTGCTACTGGGTGTACCACTAAACACCAGCACTGTCTTCACTCTGAGCTAGTTCAGACACGCAGATATTAAATCACACCATAATCACCGTTGGAAAGTTTCCAGTCTTGTTTACAGACACAGTCTGTCTTTCTTCCTCTTCTTATGTTTTGTAAGCCCCCACCCCTATACACAGGGTTTCTCTGTGTAGCCCAGGCAGTCCTGGAACTCTGTAGATTAGGCTGGCCTGCTCCTGCCTTTGGAGTCCTGGGATTAAAGGCATGCACCACCACTACCCAGCCTCTTTTCTCTTAATTTTATAAAACAATAGACATCTGTAGTTGTCTACAGAATTGAGGTTATCAATTAAACCTAAGTGCTTCAATTTACTAAATTGGCTAAACATAAATTATAATTTTTCACAGCAATGATAGACAACAAAGTCTAATGTGTGTTCAGCCATACTGAATATACTCAATTTGCTTTAGATAATTCATAAAACACTTCGATGACACATATAAAATAATCACTGTGTTCTCTGAATGAATGCATTTCCTGCAGTTTTTCATGAACTAGATTCTGCATATATGAGAATCTGTGGTACGATTTGGGCTCTACTGTATATGGTTCCACGAAACTAAGTGATTTCATTAATTCTTCTGATTTTTTATTAGCTCTCTGTAGAAGGCAGATAATATCAGCACCACTCTTCAACCCTTTAGTTTAAAGATTCAGGGAAGTCACTAATTTAAAGAGACAGTATGGAGAACAGCCCACAGTGAAGAGTGTGAAGATGTAGTAGGCAAGTTATTATCTTGAATTCTACTTGTTTTTTCTTCTAAATAAGTGGTATTGGTCTCTTGTATTTCCTGGAGTTTGAATGTTATTGCTTTCTAAAGCCATTCTCTAGTACATTCAATTTCCATTTCTTAGCTAAGCCTGGCATTCTGTCCTTCTAAGCATCCACCCATCCCTGGTACCTTTAGCCTTCTTGTGACATAACTTCTGATCAGGCTGCTCATTCACAGGCTTCATCTTGTCATCAAAAGTCATTTCCAAATTCATGCCAACAATGAGCAACTGAAGCAGCCAAGGACCTCAGCCAACTGCCAGTGGGTGAGCTTCTGGAGCCGTTTAAATAGTGAGTCTTATCTGGTGGAGGATGACTCAGCCATCGCAGGAGGAAGGGGAGACTTTGCTTCATATTGGAAAGTTGGCTAACGAGAATTCTTAGGTTGTGTCTGTTGTGGGTGGGGAGAATGGTAATTCCAGTCCTGTTTCATGACCTTTCACTAAGAAAAAGACAGCAGGGAAAAATGCGCCGTCTATGACAATTATAGGAAAGACACTGAAGACTTATCAGATAAGGGCTCAAAACTCAGAGGAACCACATACTTCAAGCTAGGTTTGTAGAAAGGAATGTGACTTCATTGTCCACATGAATCTGTTTGCTGATTCACTGAAGCATATTGTCACTATATGGTATCTTTTTATAAGTAGGACATTTTACTTTTTATTGTTTGAATTGACAATTAGACATGGAACATAAATCACATAGGACTGACATTTCTAGCCATGGTACCCTGGGTACAGGACTCATTAGGGGTATTCTTGCTTACAGTGACTTCAAACAACAGCATGAGTCCATTGAAACTAAATAGAGTAAGTTCTTGAATTTTACCCTGGGTCTGTCATCTTGGAGAAATACTTACATTGAATCTATATATTTTTCTGTGATTTGAGGATACTGTATATTTGGTAATGTTTCAATTGTCAGGTATAGTGTCATAAGCCTTTAATTCCAGCACTTGGGGGAGGGGGCAGGGGTGTACAGAGCCAGGTGGATCTCCATGTGTTCAAGGCCATCCTGGTCTGTAATACCGAGTTCCAGGCCAGCAAGGGTACTGTAGTAAGCTCTGTCCCCAAATTTTTTTTTAAATGATAATGTTCCAATAGGAACCTAAGAGATACTGTAAAAAATGACAAGCTTTGTAGTTGGAGCATAAAAACTAAGAAATAATAGTTAAAACTACTGTTAATTATTATATCCAGGATAGTTAAATGGACCAGAAAAGACTATGTTTTAGTCTGAGCAATGCATCCTGGGCTTTTTATACCTATACCTATTGTTAAAATCTTCATCTGGTTTTCCATCATGAAAAGATATATCTCGTTGAAATTATTTATATATTTTTAACCTCTGTGTGTGTGTGTGTGTGTGTGTGTGTGTGTGTGTGTGTGTGTGTGTTTTAAAAGAGAGTGTCTTTA